ACATGATCACAAATTTGACTTTTGATTTAATGATTGGTGATATTTTTGTAAGAGGGTGTGCGTGTGTGGCATTATTGAAAAGAATGAACCAATGTGTGGCATTTTTGCAAATGCCCCTATTAAGTAACATGTAATTTTAATTAACCAATAAAAATATTTCAATTAAAACTATATGCCATGGTAGAAATGTTTACATATTCTTATTAATTTTATAACATAAATCCATTAATACATGTTCTACAAATCTAAATCCAATTAAATCTATTTTTAATTTTTTATATTAATTTTTTTAATTTTTTTATAATAATATTATTTATTGTAGATATATGTATGTATATTAATTTTCTATATATAAAAATATTTTAATTATGATAGTCTATTATATATAAAACTACACTTAAAATATTTATACATTTCATTATTAGGAAACATTCTAAACTTTTTTAGCAGGGGTGGTATTCCACAACCCCCCTTTTTTGTCCGACAAATTCATATAACTTTAAAAATTATCTGATTTGTCGCATACTTTGTAATTTACACGAATAATAAAAATTAATTTTACACTTAGAATTTATTGAAATAAATAACATTTTCATATGTTTTGATTAATTTTAAAGATAGAAATATTAAAACTAATGGCATCAAATTATGTTTGATAAAATTTAATTTTATTATATTTATCCACAATGCACACCTTTTTAGTAAGTTTATAAATATTAGAAATCATATGCTTTGTCATAAAATTTAAATATTATAATCGATTAAAAATATATTTAATCATTTAATCTCACGCATGGCGTGAGTCAAAATCTAGTTATTTTTATATCAAAGGAAAGTAAATATAAAATATCATGTAAGAATGATCATACATGCGTTGTAATATCATGTATGGAAAAAAAATGAATTACATTTCACATGTATGGATCTCCGCATGTGACAATATCTATACTTATAAAAGAGAAGTCATTTTGCTTATGTATCGCAATGAGAATGATTTTAAGAAAGAAAAAAAAAAC